ATGTTGAGTATCAGCCTCTCCCTGCAAGAGGCAGGACTTCTGAGAACTTCAGGAAATGCTGAGCCTAAATTCCATCATATTTGTCTTCCTTACAATCACACAGTGATTCACAATCTTTCTGGAAGAAGTCCTGAAGGATTTTTTGGCAAAATCTCCTTTCTTCTCCTCATCCTGACTCCCGTCCCTTTCCAAACTCCTCAGCATCTCTCTTCCAGCTTCTGTCACTTATTCCTCACTTTTCAAGTTCTGTAACCTCCCCCAAGCTGTAGCAGTGCTGGCACGAGGCCCAAGGTAATAAACCTATCAGAGCTTATTAGCTTGGTATGCACTCTATCCCCCCCCGCACCTCACCCCTGGTGTTAGCATCTCTCATTATTCACTTACTGTCACACAGGAGCACGATGGCAATGACACCACAGAACCAAAAGCCTTTGTGCAGTATTCTTCCTCATCCTTACGCAGAAAAGCCACCCTTTCTTTTCCTGACCCTCTCACCCACACTTTGCTCTCTAACAGTTTCTGACTTTGCACAAGAAAAATTGAGAGACTGTTCAATCTGGTGACTCCAGAATTCTGGACACAAAAAATGTTTAATTTTCTTATGCCAAAATCTGGAAAAGTAATAGATAGTCACATCCACATGTACTGTGTCAGCCTGCTGAAAATGAAAAAGGAAAAAAAAAAACCTAAAAGCACTTCCTTCTTTTTGAACACATGAATCACCAGCTCAAGTGGATGGTACCATAATCACCAGTTAATAAAGCAGCCATACCTTCCTGAAAGGCAAGGCCCCTTTGCATAGGCAGACACAACCTGGCAAGAGCACTAACAAGCAAGCAGAAATCCCATCTTTCCTTTCACAGGGTCCTATTTCAGGTTTAACAAATTAGTCTGAAGGTGACATCCCATTATAAGCTCGCATATAAACACAAGAGACCTTTTTTTTTTTAATTTAACTAGTGTACAACAGGATTTCCTTCCTGTAAAAAGGACAAGAAAGGGAAAGCAGAGCTATCAAAACAACACTAGGAATATCCTCCTGCTCTTTATTCAAAGCACAAACAACCAGCTGAGCTGCCTTCCCTGGAACGTGTGGCAAGCCTTGGTCTTAACCTCATTATGTTATCACCACGCTGTGACACTGGCCAGGCTTGTGCCATTTGCAGTTGCCAATAAAGTGACAGAAGCATTTTCCTCTCAGCTTCCTATCTTAGGCAGTCTATAGTTTTGTTCTGTTATCTCTGTTCCAATACATAATTGCATGGACAAAGGCAGAAAGCCTCCATATCAGTTGCAGCCTCTGGTGCAGGGTAACTTCAACTCCTCTCAAATTAGCTCCAGTCTTCCTGACTGCATTAATACACAATGGCTCTTTGCACAGAATTTGACTTCACAAGTAAATTTAAATGAAGTCTCAGCAATTTCATTAACACCAAAAAAATTTGCAACTAATATGACTCCCCTCCATTTGTGCAAGTTTAATGCTTTTCCAGGAACACACTGCAGAAGTAACATATAAAAACTGCTGAAGCCTATTTCAAGCATTTATTACTGAGTATATCATATTGTTCTGGCATTTTTCTTAAAGCCAGTGACAAAGACACTGCAGGGAGCATAAAAATGTGAAATTTGGGGTTTAGCATAAATGGGCATTTAGAAAATGAAAGTGCTTCACAGTCCAAGTTACCATCTCTAGACTTGATAAAAATGGCTTGAGGATTCACAGGAATTATTATTATAGGAAAATGGATTGCAGAGAAACTGTCAGAACATCGATCTGGTATTTGGCCTAAACTCGTAATACTACGTAATACATAACAGCTATTCACAATTCCTGCAAAAGGGAAGGAATTCTTTACTGGACTAGTGAAAAACTGGACTAGTGAGCATTAGTTCCAATGCTCATCACTGTGGCATCACATCAAATACATCTTGCAGATAAAGATAAGGCTTATTAAAATGGAGACATGGTTTTGTACAGGTAAATGAGCCTCCAAGACTTCCATGGAAGGCAGACAACATTATGTGTGCCCTCTTTGACCAATGGCTGGTCACAGGTAGGAAATTCATACAGAGAAATTATTCATCAAAACATTGTGTAGGTCTCATTTTTACTTTTAGAGAGAGAACGAAAGAAGCCACTCACACAATCTAGAATTCCTTTCTCTTCCCTCACCACCCTCTACTCCATTAGCTTGTTAAAAACAACTGACTGAATTACTTCAGTCACCAAGGAAAACCTCGTTTGAAAAGTTATAAGGAAACCTTAGGGAAGGAATATTCAGTCCCTAAGGGAAATGTGGCAGCTTATTGGAGAACTGTTGTTCTCTCACTTTCAGACCTTGTAAAACAGCTACTGCCCAACATGTTTTCTGTAGAAAGTTTCTTGTGAATCAAGAAGTTACGGATGGCTCAGGAAACCAGGGATGAGGGAGTTTCTGTGGTAGCTTTAACCCTAAACAAGACTAAATTACAAAATGGAAGTGAATCAAGAGTTCTTACACAGGGAAGATTTCTTCTGGGCAGCTACAAGGATTCTGCACACATCCAATCACACTTCTGCTCAGTACACACCTCTGTGCACACATTGCACACAGACTCATTGCCTGTATCAGATTAAGGCCTTTGGAGCTCTAGGACTTCATAGGTACAAAATAAATTTGATAGTGAAATACATGCTCACAGGTAGAAAAAGATTGAAAAGATGGAGCGAGTACATGGACTTTTACACGAACATATTATTAAGCCCAGCTTCTTTCTTGTCTCTCCCATGTACAGTTTGGCTCTCTGACAGTAAGGCCCACTCTTGTACAGTTCCTGCCTTATGGAATAGCTTCCCTTTAACTCCAAGTTTCATCTGTTCTTTCACCCCATTCCAAAACACAGCTAACAGTTTGTCCACCCTTATCTCACCCTTTTGCCTCCGCTCTCCCTCCCTATTGCTCAGGACTTTACCCACGAAGTGCAGCACGTGACTTTCTCTACAGCAGTATGTGCATGCCAAGAGACATGTACATCACTGAGAAAACAACTACAACAAACCCACAAAGCACACAAAACCCAACGACCACAAACACAGACTAACAAAAGATGACAGGACCAAAGCCTACTGAGCAGTCAGAGCTCAAGGGTTTGATCTCTAGTGTAGAAGAGAGTCTTGGCTGCACCAGTACAAGCCCCTCATGGGATACATTAGCATCTCATTTTGCATTTTTAATTTTTTTTTTTTCCATTAAAACACAAAGAACAAAAAGTGGACTCAAGCAGACTCCTCATTTAACTTTGTTCTCCCCTTATTCTGTGAAACAGCTATTTAGATAAATTAACAACGCCTCCTCATCCTCAAGGCTACAACATTTCCAAACTTTCCTGAGACGATACTTCTTGCTTGGCTGAGTTTTTTTTAAATCCTACTCACAAACAACATGAGTGTTTTGATAGAATGACCAAATGATTCAAGAGATGCCTTGGAAAACAGATGCAGAATAGCAAGGGGCACATATTTCTTGATAGTAGAACAGTTTCAATATATCTCATTCAGCTATCAACATACTTCCAGTCTAGTATTAGCCAGCAGTCTCCTCACTCAATTAAGGCAAATACCCACACCCAACAAAGCTCAAGACAAATTGTGAGTCCTCTGACCTTCAAATCTGCTTCATTTTCCTCTTTTAGCCCCGAAAGTCAGAACATGCAATGAACATACTGCCTTTCTCACCAAAGGATCGTTTGGATCTGCTTTTTATTAAATAAAAGATAGTAATTTTTGAGAGGAGCCATACTGAAGTTTTTTAAACATACACACCACAATTTGCTATTGTTAAACACTAAGTCATGCTAACAAGGAGCAGCCAAAGAAAAAAAATACCAACTCGCATATAATGTGAATATAGAGATTAGTTAACAATCATTTATCACCTCCTGCTCCTATTTTTACACTTCTTCAAGGAGTTACAGTGCAAATGCACTCCACTGCAAACTTTTTACTCCCCCCTCCTTTTTCTTTAACAAAGAAGTACTGTTTCAGCAATTCATGAGGTTTGTAATGTGTTTTATTAAACTTCAAGAGATATTTAATGAAATTACTGACTTCCAAGAACAGCATGAATCTTCTGAATTACAACGTCTGTCAGCCATCCCAGTTGTCGCTACTTTAGAAGTATGGCTTTTGTTTTCCTCCACTATTGCTCCAAAATTTCTTAAGCCTCAATAAATTTTAATCAGGAAATAGCATCCCAGCTCCCAGAACTCTGGGAGTAAGTTCTCATCCTGATTCAACCAGACAAATAGCAGATTTGTTCACATACTTGAGAGGAAAAATAATGTTTTCTGCTAATTCAGTGAACAGCGTTCCAGAGCTGTTTTGTGTTGTGCTCTTACTGGACAAAATTCTTGGCTATGGCTTCATGCTAAGCCAAAAGTAAACACTCTTGCCTTTTTATATGGATAGTTCTATCCCTAAGTACCACCACTGGCATCAGTGGTGACAGAAGAAAAGCTATATTGCCCCAATAGGAGAGAAGAATTAAAAAAACCCAAAAAAGCACAAGCCCTGTTCAACCAAATAAATGCAAGCATTCCTGCACTTCCCAGAAATCAGTCATCAAGCTGTGCTCCTGGGTATCACCTAAAGGAGGACAGTATTGATTTCACAACAGCACAATTTAAGACAAAACCCACCATATAATCCCTGATTAAAGGATCTCTTCCACAAACACCTGCAGTTTAAAAGTTACCAAGCACTTCTGCAGCACGCAGAGATTTGTTAACCTAAACACCACATGCAGAATCTGCACAGGTTTTGGAACATTTTTTTCTAAATCCAAGCTCGACTGTAACAGGTGCTGATGTGACCAAACAAGACACAGCAGTTCAACCCAATTTGTATTATGTTCTCATAGTTGGTGGATATATTTATGTTCCCCAGCTTCAACAGTCTCTAAGATCACTTTTCAAAAGGACTTTCAAAACAGCAAGACCAAACACCATCGAGGACTTACCAGATTGGAATTGGTGGCATTGGAATCATCTTCTGGAAAGGGGATATAGATAGCTAAGGCCACACAATTGGCAAAAATAGTCAGTAAAATAATTATTTCAAATGGTCTGAGGAATGGAGTTAAGGAAATTGTTCCAAAATGTACACACACAAATAAAATAAAAACAAAATTTATAAGAATTCTGTTTAAAGAAAGCATTCCAAGCCCCTTATATTCTGAAAAGAAGCATATGCCTTTTTAAGTGCTTTTAGGAACTTCCAGCCAAGAATCTTCCTAATATGTCAAAAGCAGTGCAGGCCAGTCGCGTGCCAGAGTAAACACAGATTTCTTAAAGGTTTTTTTTCTTCTTTAATTTATTTAGATTGCATTTTCCTGATTTTCCTTCTAGTGTGGCTATACTATTTTTATTAACAGAAACCTGCTCTAGAAGGACTGCCTTTGTTTCTCTTGGGATTAGTTCCTCTTGGTCTTTTTCCACCTGCATTTACAAATACTCAAATAATTTTAGCAAACATTTTGGTTTGAAGTGGTTTTTTTGGTTTTGTTTTGATTTCGTTTTGTTGCTGTATTTCTTTTCCCCCGTTCTCGGTTTCTCTCTCACACCTCAAAGTTAAATGTAAGGGCCCAAGGAATACGTGCATACATTGCTAGATGCTTAAAAGATGAAAAATTTTGGTAAGGCAAGAAAATGGCTTTGCCCAAAATGTGCTTGCACTGCCAGGTACACTTGTTTCGCCTAAAAATTATTTGAGGGATTGTTTCTTTTTCTCTTATTCGCATTTCATTTGACATCACAGGGAACACAAATGTGCCTGCACAGTGTATTAGGGGCACCAGGAAGCCAAGAGTTCCTTATGACAGAGAAACTGGCAACAATTCGTGGGCATTTCAACCTTGCACCAACTTTGTTGGGGGTGGGGGAGAGGGATCCAAACATTTGGAATGTTCAACAAAGAAATCCTGTGTGACCTCAATGTTCTTTGCCTGTCCATTGGAATCCAAGGGTATTTTTCTACTGCCTTGTTTGCTGGCACTGTACTTCATCTGCTTCAGTGGACTCCCTGATCTCAGTTGCTGTGAAGTGTCCCCCCAGCTCAGGCCATAGACCAGATTTACAGTCTGTCTACATTTAGTTGCCTGCAAGAATATCCTGGAATTTTGCTCTGGGATAACTCACCAGTACTCTGGAGGAGAATGAAGAGCAGGATAGGACAGGGAGAATGCCAAGCATAACCTGTGCCACAGACAGCGTTTGAGCATGAATTTATCTCCCATGGGACTGGCTCTGCAGTGCTGCCAAATGTCAGCACAGCATGGGTGATTTTGGTCAGCAGAGTTCTGTTCTCAGCAGGTTTCAGTAGGAAAAAAAATGGAGATCTTTTAATGTGCAGCTGAACTGCAAGATAAACACAAATTCCAGGCACCTGACTGCTGTTTATACTCAAATATATCCTACATTTCACAAAAGGAAGACTCAACTCCAATCTCACCAGGCTCCTGTGCTTAAGCCTGTTAATAGTAGGAGATATATGATAATGTGGAGGAACAAGAGCAGAACGGGGTAGGTAGATTACATGTGAAATCAGTGAGATTTCTCAGGGATATACCTCAGGCTGTTTATATAATATTGGTGGTCTTAATTGTTTTATTTCCTAGATTTTTTTTGTTGTTTGTTTTAGTTGGATTATTGTCTATTAACTTACCACTATTCACGCATATTTTCTTTTACTTCTTTTTATTGCACTGTAAAAATAAAATTATATATCACCTACAAATACAGTGCAGACAAAGCAGAAAATTAAATACACAGCTAAACCTTTGCAAAATAAGGCAATTAATTCGTTTTACTTTTTCATAAATGCAATTGCACCTTCAGGCTCTTAACACTATAACATTTGGGTAAGAAACACCGCTGAAGTACCATTTGATATTTGTTTAATATCTATTACGCTTAAACTTCAGTGGTTCAGCAAATTAAGCTAAGCTTTCCTCAGTAGTTTTCAGCAATTAGGAAAAGTCAGAATACAGAATAAAATTAAACCTTATCACAATCCTTTGATATTGCTACTTGTCATTGAAGTGTTTCATGTTTATAAACACTAGACGTGCAATGAGAGGTTCTGGTGGGGGGAAAAAAATACTTCCATCAACTCAGCCAAAACCAAACAAAACCAAAAAATGCAAGCTTCAGCATCTTTGGACCGATTGAATTGCATTGTTTGGTCCTCTCTTGATCTCAGCAGTGCTGTATCCTGGTTTACAACATCTCATTCCCATCACTCATTGCTGATCTTGTTCCTCTATCGAATGTCACTCTGTGCTCTGTCTAAAGACCTGTGGTTACGGGGTGCTGGCAAGGAAACCAATACTCAGCTTCATCCTGTTAGTCACCAACAATCATCTTATGCTTAAAGTATCAGAGCTATGTCAGAAGCAATAAAAAGCAGCAAACTTAATCAGGGGATTAAAAATTAGCACCTGAAGAAGAAAGGAGTAGGTAGGCAGGTAGTTTAAGGACATTTAAGAATTGACAGGGCATTTTTAACAAGTTCTTAATCTGAAAAATATGTCTATGTCAGCAATATTTAATATACCCATTTTCTGTTTTTACCTTTCTAACATCCCACCAGACACCCAAAGGAATAATATTATCATATTGTCTTAAAATGCCTTAATTCATTTTTTATCATACTAACTACTGCCAAGTTCTGTACTACCTTCCCTTGACTTGCTTATCTATCCCTAAAAACATGCATTTTCTTTTGTATTTACTGAAGCACCCCATTAGCTTGTGATTAGGGTTAGTATTGTTTTCTCTTCGGGGATGAAAGGGAGATACATTTTATTTTGGATTGCTTTTCCCACCAAATACTCAAATTCCAGCTTGCACTGATCAGCCTTGGGTGACTAAAAAGGCTTCGCTCCTTGCACTTCGAGCTTTGGCCAAACTGTCAGTGGCTTTCCAGGGGAGCAGCACTGATCCTTAAGTTCTGCAGTTCTGTGTCAGTGGTTGTCTGTTGTCTGTGACACTGTCTGTCTCATGTTCAGACAACTAGATATGGCTCTGCACTGCATTTGTACATGCTGCAGGATTACTGTTACGTGTTTCTTTTTCCCTTCTTCTAGATAAGCATTATCCCTTTCCATACATTACTGAGCCTTACTCGTTTAAGTGGAATTCCAATAAAATTAACAGTCCTTCGCCCTGTTTCAGGATCTCACTGCATAAATTTTGGGGGGCTTTTACCTCCTCCTTTTGCCCCATTCTTTTCTCCATACTGTAGAGTGTGATGTCACATGACCATCAAAAAAAGTATGAAATTCAAAGTATCAGAGTTGTTGACTGGTGGCACCTGTGAGAAAGCAACCACCAAAAAAAAAAAAAAAAACCAAACCAAAAAAACCACCAACCAACCAACCAAAAAACATGAAACAAAAACAAACAAAACCCCACAAAAAACATACAAAACCAAAGAAACCCACCTCAACCTCCCCACAAAAAAAAGCACAAACAAACAAAACAAAGCCACAAGCCCCCAAAAAAACACCAAAAAAACCAGACCAAACCAACCAAGAAAAATTAAAAAACAAACAAACAAAAAACCAACCAACCAAACAAACAAAAACCCAAACAAAAACAAACCCCAAAAAACCACCAAAGTCCCAGAAAGGAAAGCCAGGAGCTGCTGTCAATCCCATAGACTCAGTTTTCAATTCTGGCCTCAGATACTTTGAATATCTCCCATCCATTTCAGTCTGGGCCGCGTGTTTTTAAAAGAGCAGAATTGAACCCCTAACCTTTCATCATTTAAACTTCTAGTGGTTTCTAACACGCAGGTGTAGTTAAGGCTTCAGCTCTAATCTCCCCGCCTTCCCCCTCCCCCAGCATAAATGATCTCAGTTAAGACATCAAAAACTATTCATGTACTTTGAGCTCCCAGCAGTGCCTTTCAGCTTAAGGTATTGATTTCCCCACGCTTCCGAACGGCACCTGACGGGCACCAAACGATTTGCAGTTTTCTGAGCGAGAACAGCAGAAAGGATATTTCCATTCGACGATGCTGATACAGGCCCTCCGGATGGGATTTTTCAGTGTCAAACACAGCAGTGCGCGGGGAGGACGCGTGGCTGTGGTGGTACCCTGTTTTTTCTGCTTCCCGTACTGCTGCCGTTTCCTCTGCGTGGAGCTGGCGGTGGATATCGTCGCGTTGCCAGCGCTACCCATCAGCTTGGCTTGCCTGGCGGCATCGATCGCAGCTTGCCAGGACAGAGCTGCCCCCGGAGTTGGGATGTGCTCTGGGGCAAGCCCTGCAGCTGCATTGGCGTTCATGTTGGCATGAGCCGGGCGGGGACTCCCATAGTTGGAACCTGGGGGGGGGGAAAGAAGTGAAAATCAAATAAAACAGACAGAAATTTGTGAAGGCGTTTTCTAAACGGCAGGAGACATAATTGGTGTTGTTAAAAACCTTCAGTATCAGTAAAATCAAGGGATAAGATTAATGTAGGATATCCACTTACTATCAGCTTGTTCCTTCATTTCAAACCCTTCATTTTAAAGTAATCATACTATGCAATCCTTCATCTTGCAAGAGACTCTCTCCAAGACCAATGGATACTGAGCTGTTAGAAGTGCCTCCAATGAACACAACCTCCAGGATTCACAGAAAACAAACTATCCATTCGCTTTTGTAGCCACACATTTTACAAGTAGGACTGTTTGAAAGCTCCCACTTGGTGAGGACAGGTCTTGTCACCTTAACACACAGACAGGCACTACTATGCTATTTAGTGCATGACAAAGCACCCAAATGAGACTCTCAACTCCTACCATAAAAATCCTTATGCTTTCAAGATTATCTCAAGATAAAGTGAAATTTTAACAATAAGCTTGATTCCCTCTGCAAAATGCACAGCGTATAAGCCCAAGTACAGCCTGACCAGAAGGTGCACTGAAGCAGAAACTGGAACACAAAGGCAAGTCTTGCAGATAGTTTAGGCCAACCAACATTTATTTATCCTTATCCTGATAAACTGATTTTAAGACAGACAAAATACTGAATCAATAGAGTAACACTTGCTTAAAAATATGTTAACAGGAATGCTAAGACCTAGCAGTCCCAACTGTTGCTGATCTTTTAATTAAGAGTGAGGCAGTATACTCTTTTGTCCAATCATAATTATAGAACATACTCATCAGGTGACATGTGCCTGATATTTAGAAGGTCTCAGCAGTACAAAAAATGAAAGTCACCCTTTCAGGCTGGTGTAATTGTTCCATTGTTTCAGTAAAGACAATTAAGTCACCTGTGCCTCTTCAAGGAGGCTTTTTCAGTGACTCAAATTAAGAATTCAGTCACTTCAAACACAGCGAATTTTGAAACTTCAAAATAGATTCCCTTACTCCTTGGAGCTTGAGTTGAGTTCTGTAAGAACCTGAGAAGGATTAAAGGACTTTTACTACGGACATTTTACAGAAGATGTAAAGTTACATGTTATGAAATAGCAACATAGAATCTACACAAAGTCTCAGCAGCAAACTGTGATTAAGAACACCACCATGTTTAGGTATGCCCTATATAATACTGAAGAGCCTCCTTTTATTTGTTGTGAACATTTGGCTGTGGCCCATATGTTGAGATACAGGTTAAAGGGAGCCCAAGGAGTCGACAGATTGTGTTCTTCACCAGGCTACAAACCCAGAGCTCGGTTTCAAAACACTGCACCCTCCACGGACTGTGTTTGGCCCTATATCTGAGCAGCAGGCTCTGCTTCACAAAAAGTGCTTGTGTAAGAGGCAGACAGGAGAAACCCATAAAGGAGTCAGATCACCTGGATAGACTGGAGAGATGGGCTGACTCCAATGGGATGAAGTTCAACAAGGCCAAGTGCCGGGTCCTGCACTTTGGCCACAACACCCTCTCTGCAGCGCTACAGGCTGGGACAGAGCCAGAGCAGCCAGGTGGAAAGGGACCTGGGGGTGCTGATTGACAGGAAGCTGAACATGAGCCAGCAGTGTGCCCAGGTGGCCAAGAAGGCCAATGGATCCTGGCCTGGATCAGGAACAGTGTGGCCAGCAGGAGCAGGGAAGTGATCCTTCCCCTGTACTCCATGCTTAGGAGGCCACACCTTGGAGTATTGTGTCTGGCTCTTTGGGCCCTCAGTTCAGGAAGGATATTGCAAAAGGAGCGGGTCCAGAGAAGAGCAACCAGGATGGTGAAGGGACTTGAGCACAAGTCCTATGAGGAGAGGCTGAGGGAGCTGGGATTGTTTAGTCTAGAGAAGAGAAGGCTTAGAGGTGACCTCATCACTCTCTTCAACTACCTGAAGGGAAGCACAGCCAGGTGGGGGTTGGTCTCTTCTCCCAGGCAACCAACAACAGGACAAGGGGACATGGGCTCAAGCTCTGCCAGGGGAAGTTTAGGTTAGATGTTAGGAAGAAATTCTTTACAGAGAGGGTGATCAGGCATTGAACTGCCTGCCCAGAGGTGGTGGATTCAACACCATCCCAGTTTTCTTAAAAGAGATTGACATGGCCCTTAGTGCCACATATAGTAATTAGAGTTGGATCAGGGGTTGGACTTGATGATCTTGGAGGTCTTTTCCAACCCAATCTATTCTATGATTCTATGATTCTATGATTCTATTTCAAAGCAAGCTCAAAGTCTACTACTGACCATGTTCCACTTTAGATTAATGTAGAAATACGGTGTCACTAAATAGGTCAGCCGGGCTCCTTACAGGCTACAGACAAAGCAAACAGAAGACCACTTGACACGGTGTTTCATTTACAATATCAGCTGAAAGACGTTCAAAACCAGGGAATTGGCAAGCTGGTCTTGAACAGAAATAATTGCCCAAGATTTCATAGCTGGATGTGCAGTGCCAAGGTATCAGAGCACTGACTGCACTACTAATGAATTAAAGCAGGTAGAATAAATACAATTCCATTGACACACGGAGTGCAACAGGATATACCTCTACCTAGAAAGCATATAAGATTTTTAAATTCATCTCATTGAATTGCAAGGAAGGACATGATAGAGTCAGGTGTTATTTTATGTCAGGCATTGCCAATAAGATTTCAAGGCTGTTAGAGTTTCATTACATAGCAGGAAAATCCAGAGCTTGTCTCTGCTCACTGAAAAATCTCCTAGTTGCAAACCAGCCAGAAGGAAGCTGGTGAGTAATATGACTCCGATATGTGAAAGGGAAAGCTGAAAGAAACAAGGAATGGGAAATAGTTAATTCACATCCCTCAGATTTTGAAACTGAAGAAAAGGAGCTTTCAGAATCATACAGGCTAAGCAGATTTCCTCGATGAAGCAGGCAATCAACTGGCAGACAAACTTAGTTTTTAAGGCTAAGCAAATTGCACACAGCACTACTCATGGGATACATATTTATTTTCAGACTAGTTCCAGATGCAGTTTTTCTCTTTAGCATCTATTTGACCTCCCTAGCCTAAGGTATGCTGGAAATGAAAAAAAATAAATGGAAAATTACTCTAATTATTCTCCAACTCTTCTTTACTGACCCATTAGAGTGGATAAGAAAGATGTGTGTGTTTTCCACTAAAGGCAATCTTGCTGATCCCTCTCCACTGTGTTCTTATCATGCTGACTAGACCATGTGGCCCTGAAAATAAACAGCTGCTGCATCTTAATGAAGACCTTTATGCAATTTGGGAATGTGTCAAGAGTCTTCATTATTATTGCTTTTTAGTTATGTTCCACATGAGGATTCAAGTCCATGCATTTTGATTTTGATGTGCCAGCAAAGTTAAGGATCCCACACTTTTGGTAGTTTTATAGGTTTTGCTTCTACCACAATCACCAGTCCCATAATAAAGTGCTTCGTCTCAAATTCATTTCAAACGATGAGTCAGTAATGACAGATTTATATTAACAAATATTACAAATATTGATTACTGATAAGGATCTGTCCGTTTTATGAAGCTCAGAGGCTGCAGACAATATCTGTACCAAATGACTAATGGCAGTGACAAATGGCTTTTTCAGAGGCAGTTTATGGAAATAGCTTGAATTCAAGAGTGAAGCTCACACAGCTTCATGGCAAGTATATTCAAGAATTGAGCAAAATATTTTCAAGGATAGCATAGCCAGAATTTCAGAGAGAATGAAATTCTACCCTACAATCTAAATGCTGGGTGCTTACTTCTTAGGAAGTAAGGAGAACAGTACATATTGAACTCGTGAGGCACCACACTGAAATTTCACCTATGGCATTCATTTCTCCCCCACCACAAAACCTGGCTGTAACCTGAGAGCTGCAATTACTGGATTTTCTGTTTTCTTTTTGCAGTGTAGCAGTTAAAGTACTTCACTAAATTTCCCCACTACAAATAGAGTTTCACGCTACCTTAATCACTTGAATCATATTTGTTTACGTTGTTATTAAGTTAGAAGTTGACCAGAACAAGGAAATGGAGATTCAGCCCCCACCCAAATGCAATAACTCACTAAGCACTGTGATCCACAGCATCATCACCCTGCTAATCCCCACCACCCTTTAGTAAGAATTTGTACTGTTGATTCTGTCCAGCTGGTGCACAGAATTCTTCTCTCCCAAGTACTTTTGTGCTATGGATCAAGAGTTTAGGCATTTGAAGAATAATCAAACAGAAAGGGCCGTATAAGTGAACAAATTTGATTACGGAGTCTTTGGGAGAGACTTTCATTTTTGCAAAAATGAGAATTTGCAGAACTAAAACAGATGCAGAAACAACAGAAGCACAGGTGTCAAAAATCAGAGTTAAGTCACAGAAGTAACAGGTAAGGTTGCTATACAGCAGGAAATGAACCACGCTGCTCAAAGCATCTGACATTGTAAGATTACAACTAAATCACCAAAATCACTATTAAAATATACAGTGATGACCATTAATAACTTTATAGGTGGCATTTGCATCTCTGTCAAGTGACCTATTAACTATGTCAAAAGCATCATTAGAAAACCCCAGCTAAGCAGTGACCATTTGATACAAAATGTGGCAAGTTGGAATCACAACTTATGAGCTTTTTTGACTTCATCTGGTTAGCCACATGTTTATTGTACAGGAATTTGTGTTCAGTTAATTCCTTACATGAAAATAGACCTATCCTAATGTGGGGTGTCACCATTCTTTTTTTCCTTCACTTTTAAAAACATCAGAATCCTAAAAATGCAAACCTTGAAACTGTGCTGCACAGCTGTATTTTTCCCCAAAGCAGAGGAAAGATGGGTACAGTAGAATATAAGACTGATTAAATCACAATGTCTTGATTGAATTCGGAAAGAAAGCAAACAGAAAGCAGGAAACTGGTCCCACTACTAAGATCATGTGTGAGACCTATTCCAGCACTCAGGAA